CACCCTCTCAAAAAAAAAAAAAAAAAAAAAGAATTCAAAACAGATTGCAGATAACAATAAATTTGACCAAAAAAGTAAGACAGAATGACTGTGCCAAGCTCTCAAAGTGCATCCCCTCTGGGGAGACAGACATATAAATGGGTAACGGTTACACCAGGTATAACGGCACTGACGGCCTATGCGCCGGCTATTTTGACAGGGGTGGTCAAGGAGTGATCCAAGGGAGAAGAGGTTTAGGGCTGCAGCTTCAAATATGACAGTTCAGCCGTGTGAAGGAGGAACAGACACTCCAGATCGAAGGCACAGATGGAGGGACAAGGAGGGGAACAGAGAGGCTGCGTTACGGGGACAGAGGAGGGAACCAGAGGCCAGGGAGGCTGTGGGGAGAGTGGGTGGTGGTTGATGGGGTTCGAAGAGAGAAGAATCAAAGACACTGGGTTTCTGGCTTGCAGACGGCGTGGACGATGGATCGCACCACTTAAGCCAAAATGTGAACTCTCAGCTGGGGTGTCGACAGGGACGGACTGGACTTTAAATACCTGGAGACATCCGCGTCAAGGGGCCCAAGGGACAGCTGGGTAAAAGGACAGGATCAAGAGACACGGAAGACAGCAGTGGCTCACGGGTCAAAGGCAAATGAAATCCTCCCTTGTGGGTGAGAAGACCCCAGAATCCCACCACTGGGATCAATTTCAATGAAGTAGGTTTGTTTCAGAGGAAAATAAGCCTCCCAGGCGATAAAATCACCTAATATTTCTCCCCTTAATACAACCCTCCATAACCCTCTGGCTAGGGGTACATCAGCCAGGTTGCCCTAAATTACAAGACACTAAACTATAGCTGACTTCACAAATGGCAGTAGATACAACCTACAGTAAAGCTTTTTTTTTTTTTTTTTTTTTTTTTTGGATTTTGGTACCAGGGCTCGAACTCGGGTCCTTGTGCTTGTGAGGCAGGTGGCAGCACCACTGAGCTAAATCTTCAGCCCCTTTTTGGTTCTATTTTTAATTCTGGACTTTATTTCCAGGCCTAGGGGGAAAAAAGAGTTTCTAAAGCAACATTCCCACCAAGGTGGCTCGTCTTTGCTCCTATCAGGAGACCAAGATCTGGAGTGTTTATTTGACAACGACAACAACAACAAAAAAGAAGCCCAAGAAAGTCTATAAAATGGGAACCGTTATTTCAGTCCAAGAGGGTTGTTATGAGGACGAGGTGAAGTCTCTGTAAACACATAAGTGATAAGGCACAAACATAAATATGGAGCAGAAGGTGGGGGAAAGGCGATATGTCACTGTCTGGACAAATGACAACAAAGCAGAAAAGCAAGGGTCTGTGTGAGGGTGAAGAAAACTTGGAAAGAGAAGTCAGGAGCAGGCCATGAAAACCTCCAAGTCCTGCAGTTACGCCTTTCTGGAATCCCAAAGGTGAGGGCAGAGGTACAGCCGCCCGGGAATTTATTCCTCCTTAACTCTGAGCTCCTCAAATCCCCATGAAGCCCGGGAATGACAGGGCGCCTGCGCCCACTGGCACCCAGAGCCTGGCCATAAATCAAGGTCTCGCTTCTGCTGGCTGCACACTGCTTTTTCCAAGGTGACCTGGGCAAAGTAAAAGGGTAGCTTATCTAGGAGTGGCATCTGCCTTTGAGATGAAAGAGCTCTGAAAATACCAAGAGGCCCGGGTCTCTAGAAATCTATCCCACGCGCTCTTCCTTCATCTCAGGAGGAGTTAGAAGAGTGACAGTCTCACCCGGAGCCACCCAGCTTGGGTGACCTACGATGCCCTTGGAGCAGACGGCAGGCAGGCGCCTATTCCAGTGCTAGGGCACAGCGAAGTCACATTGGCAGCACAGCCAGGTTCCAGCCAAGGACTCCAGAAACTCAGCCCTAGGCCAGGGTTCATCTGGCCACCTGACTCTCTCCAGAGGCATCTAAGTGAACTATGAGCGTGGAAACCAAAGACTACTAAAAAAAAAAAGTAGCCGGGTGTGGTGGCGCACGCCTGTCATCCCAGCACTCAGGAGGCTGAGGCAGGAGGATCACTGTGAGTTCGAGACCAGTCTGGGCTACACAGGGAGTTCCAGGTCAGTCTCAACTATACAGTGAGACCCTGTCCCAAAAAAGGAAAAGAAAAAAAAAGTGCCCCTCCTTTGTCAAAACTCATGGGCAGAGGGAACAACATCAATCCTGGGACACCTGGGGGCCTGCAAAGTCATCACTCGAAGAGACTGAGGACCTCGGAACACAGTGGCCACACCAGCCCAGGGTGACGGTGCCCAGCGGAAGGTAGGGACTGCTGTGGAGATTAAGGTCATGAAGTTTGGTGCATGGTAGAAATGCTTGCTGGAGCGCAGAGGCTAATGAAGCCATGGGGGGGGTCCCTGAATTCTCCCCTACTTTACAGACCTGTCACTTGCCCACCTCCACCTCTGGAGAGGGAATTCATTGTGGCATCCCACAGGCTTGGTACCTGCCACAGAGCTGGTGCTTCGAACATATTTATGAATAAATGAATGTAAATGAATAGATGAATGACACCTTTACCTGTCATCTCTGTAAAAAGTTTGTTTGTTCACCAACTATCCCACTATCCCAATTTGAGTTCCTTTTTTTTTTTTTTTCTTCCTTTAGTACTGGGGATTGAACGCGGGTCCTTGTGCTTGCAAGGCAGGAGCCAGTGAGCTAAATCCCCAGCCCCTAAATTCCTTTTTTTTTGAGACAAGGTCTTGCTATGTAGCCCAGGCGAGTCTCGAACTCACAGCGATCCTCTTGCCTGTCTCCCGAGTGCTGGGATTACAGGCGTGAGCCACCCGGCAACTGAGGAGTTCTTGAGGCTGAACAGCGTGTAGTCGGATAAAAGTGATAAAACTGGCAAATCCTGAGGGAGAAAGGGGTTAAAATCAGACTAGAAATTCAAATCAGATGGCTCCGCCCTCACTTGGCCTCAGTCCCACCTTTCCAGGACGCCCTCCTCAGACTCCTCCCCCTTTCTCGGAGAAGGTCACTTTAAAAATGTGGGCGCCCAGACAGGACCGCCACTGCGCACGCTCGGTTTCATATTGACTAGCTCCGCCTTCTCTCCGCCCACCCTAGAAACCGGAAGCCACCTCCCACTCTGTGGTCCTATGCGAATAGCGGGTCCGCCCGCCGGGGCGCGGTCTGGTTGCCGCGGTGTTTGACGGGAAGAGGGCACAGAACGGTCTCAGGGTTAAGGGTTGGGGCTGACGTCAGGAGCCAAGATGGCGGCAGTGGCCGGGTTCTCCTTGAGGCGACGGTTTCCGGCCACGGTCCTTGGCGGAAGCTGCCTGCAGGTAGGTCCGGGGGGATTAGGGGACAGGAAAGTTACAGAGGCCGCCTAGATTGAAGGGGCCGTGGAGGGGAGGAGGGGGCACAGGGCAGGGCCTCGGGCCGAGGTAGGCCCTTCTTCCACCCGCGCAGCGTTTTGGTTTTGCCTTGGAGCGTCTGTCAGTTGTCCCGCGCCACAGCCTGTGAGTCCGGACAGAGTCGATTTCTTAGAGTTAAGGAAAAAGAAGTTCAAAGGGGACTTGAATTGCTCAAGGTCATATGGCAAGCGAGTGACAGTAACCGGAATTCAAACCAGATATTTGGATTGCAAGCCCCCCCTCTTTTTTTTTTTTTGCAGCCAGACTGTAGCCTCTGGAAAGGAAAAGCATGCGGGATACTGGGGATAAGAACTCGGCAGTGAGGTCGCTCCTTCCGGGTACAAGGTTGAGAACCAGACCCGAAATGGGAAGGAAAGGAAGGGTGAATTGTGGACGGAAAGGCATCCACGCGCCCAGTTCTGGGAAAGATCCCAACTTCCGGTTTGGGGGCTTGCAGGAAAGACTAGGTTCTTTTTTTTTTTTTTTTTTTTTTTTTTTTTTGAGACAGGGTCTCACTATGTAGTTGAGACTGAGCTGGAACTCACTATGTAGCCCAGGCTGGTCTCGAACTCACAGCGATCCTTCTGCCTCAGCCTCCCGAGAAGACTAGGTTCTGAAGCAGTGTCGCCTCACTCACCTACAGTGAGGCAGGCGTTTATCCTTCTCCAAGGGCGTCTAATAATACCGACTTCAGAGTTGGCATGGGATGACATAGGTTCGAGACTTGGCGCTGTTATTATTTACACTAATGTCAGTGATAGATTTTCCCAAACCCATTATATCTTCAGAACTTCTGTTCTGCCTTCTAAGTGGGAATATTTGGAAGGGAACCCACCACTCTTTGCGTAAGGCACTAAGGGATTTATAAGTCTTTCAGGTCTGTTCCCTCCACTGGACTCCTAAGCAACTCCTTTAAGGTGGGCAACAAGAACACTTAACTGATTTTTGGAGATTTGAAAACAGGCTCCAGAAAGAAAATTATTTTTTATTTTGTAACAGGATCTCGATATGGTTATTTCCCAGGCTGGGATCTTCCTGCCTCAGTGTCCTCATTGGTTGGGATTATGGGCATGTGTCACTGTGCCCAACCACAGGGTAGCTTTTTTAACATAATGCCTGAAAAACTGCTCAGCGCAGATCTTGATGTATGTGAGAAATACTAGTTCCTCTGCCTCTTCTAGCATTTGCATGTGGATGACTCTTTGAGACCTGCTGTGGCTGCTAACAGTACTGTGTATCTCCCACCTGTGCTGTAATCTTAACATTCCAACATGCTGTCTGTGAACTGGGACAAGTCGTTCATACTCTGCATCTCTTCCTGAAAAGGGGGATTAGGGAAAGAGCAAGGCCTACCAAAGCTTATGCCCTCTGGGAATTCAATTAATGATTGCTGAAGGGCTTGTTTAGTTGCTGAGGAAGCAGGTAAGTTGTGAGAGCCCCACTACTGGGAGTGAAATCTGAAGTTCAGGCCTCTCTGCTTGAGAAGAAGCTGTAAAACAAAGCTGGTTTTATGGGTCAGTGTGATTTCAGGCAAGGCCTTTGCATGGCCTCCTGAGGATGAGAGAAATAGAACAGTCCCACCCCCTCACACATGCAAGAATGTGCATTTGTCCCCACAAAAACCACCTCAAAAGAATTCAATAATGGCCGGGTGTGGTGGTGCACTCCTGTAATCCCAGGGAGGCTGAGGCAGGAGGATCACTGTGAGTTCGAGAGCAGCCTGGGCTACATAGTGAATTCCATCCAGGTCAGTCTCAACGACATAGTGAGACCCTGTCTCAAAAAAAAAAAAAAAGAATTCAATAATGAACTAGGTGTGGTGGTGTACATTGTAATCCCAGCGCTCTTGAGAGGCTAAGGCAAGAGATTGCAAGTTTAGGTGCAGCCTGGGCAATTTAGCAGATTTTTTTTTGGTATGGGGATTGAACTCAGATCCTTGAGTTTGCAAGGCAGGCGCCAGAACCACTGAGCTAAATCCCCGGCCCAAGCAGGTAAACATTTTTAAAAGGACTGGGGATGTAACTCATTACAGAGACCTTGGGTTCAATACCCAATGCTGGGGGGGTGGGGGATCCATTTGTGACTTGCTGTGTTATCAGTGGATAGTAGTCATGTTTGGGCTCTGAATCTCGTCTATGAATATGGTCTTTCCACTGAACCATAGTTCTGTCTGTGAATATTTAATATATTCATTATTGTTGGTGTTATCTTATTTCTTCACCTAGACTCTGAACTCCTGTAGGACGTGAATCACCTATTTACACTTGGGTGGCTCATTGCTCTTGGGACTTGCAGGGCTTGGGATACCTGTCTGCCAGTCAGAACAGTGCACAGACTGAAAATGTTGCCTGCCAGTATTCAAAAGCAGGAACTCTTCTGAGCCTTTCTAGAGCGCCCCCCTCGGTTACCTTGTAAATTGGGTAGTTGTGCTGCCCACCCCTTTGCAGAGGAGCTTGAAAGAGACTAAGAAATTTACTGAAAAATGCACAGATGGTAGGTGACAGAGCTTGAACGTGAAGCATAAGCCAGCCTGCACCGTCTGTTTTACGCCAGCTCATCTTCTCACAGACCTCCCCGCCATTCTCCTGGCCGTTTTCCCACCGCCCTCTTCCGCCCCAGATTATCTGCCAGCACAGCGCCTTCTCCCTAAGGAAGCACCCCTAGAGGAGTGACAGCCAGCACTGAGTGGGACCCAGAATCTGCCCTCCTCCTCAGTCCGCTTCCGTCCGCCTCTTCATGTTGTTGCTTACATCGTTAGCTGTGACGTTTTCCTGGAAATGTACTTCTGCTGTGAGTGCTCACTAGCCTCGTCGATGAGAAGTGCTTCTACACGCTTCTCTCCCGCCGTAGAGCGGGAGTGTACATTGCTGGGCAGGTAGCGGGGGCTGCACAGGTGGGCCTCTTCCCCGCACAGCCGCCTGTTCTTCCTGTTGTGGGAGAACTAGCAGTGCCCCTTTGGCCAGCCCTTCACGTGTGTCCAGATCCCATCCATTCTCACTTCTGAACATGTACCCTCCGGTGATTCCCTACGCAGATTGTTCTTCTCTCATAGAGTACTATCCTCAGCACGCAAGTATGCTGTAATTTCTTACATGTTTAACAAACATATGTCCTACCATCCTGCTTCTCTTCTCGTCTTTATAGACCATCTCACCCAAATTTCATTTCCTTCCTTGTTTCATTTGTTTCTTTGAGACAAAGTCTCGCTGTATAGTTGATGCTGGTCTCAGACTCACTAGGTGACCTAGGCTGGCCTTGAACTTGTGGCGGTCTTCCTGCCTCAGCCTCTCAAGTGCTGGGGTTACAGGTGTGCACTATCATGCCCACCTTCCTTCCGTTTCTTTCTGGCATCTGCCCCCATCACCACTTCATGGCATTGCTCATTTCGGGTCACTGGTGACCTTTGCCACGTTAATCTTGTGGTCAGCTCTCAGCTTCATGATCGTTTTCTCTGAAGCATTTGTCCATCATTCGTTTCCTCAAAAAATGTTTTCTCGAGGACATCCCAGTCTCCGTTTTTTTCATCACATGTTGGCTTTTCTGTCTTAATTATCTCAGCCTATAAACATAGAGCTCAGTCCTCCAGTCTCTTGAAAGGTCTTCTTTGGCCAGGGATTTAGCTCAGTGGTTCTGCCACCTGCTTCGAGAGCATAAGGTCACAAGTCCCATCCCCGATACCAAAAAAAAAGATTTTCTTTGGAGCTGGTTAGATACTATCTGCTTGTGTTTAGTGATACCTCCCAATTCTACGTCTCCAGCCCAGGCCTGACTCAAGAGTCCCAGATCCATTGGGCCACCAGCCACGATCCGAAGTCTCCATGTGGTTGTTGAATTAATGCACCGTCAGATTTTGCTTGCCCCAAACTGAAAACCTGACATTGCCCTCCCACCCCCGCTCCCTCCCCCAGCACATGCATCTGTCTTACTGTGTTTGCATCTCAGCTGGCAGCTCCATCCTTCAGGTTGCTAACACCAGAAACCTGAGAGCCATCCTGGAGTCTTTCTCTTGTTCTTGTTCTTACACCCAGTCTTGAGCAAATCCTGCTGGTCCTTTTTGTTTGTTTGTTTTTGTTTTTTTGTTTTGTTTTTTTGAAACAGGGTCTCACTGTGTAGTTCAGACTGACCTGGAACTCACTATGTAGCCCAGGCTGGGCTCGAACTCACAGCGATCCTCCTGCCTCAGCCTCCCGAGTGCTGGGATTGCAGGCATGTGCCACTATGCCCCATCCTCTGCTGGTACTATCTTAAACTAACCACCTTTGCATCTATAACCAGCTTCCTGCCACCATCATCTCTTGACTGATTGTTGGAGTTCCCACATGGTCTTACTTGCATCTTAAGTACTTTTGTAGTTAATTCCCAAAACTGTATTCAGAATGCTCCTTTGCAAATTTAGGTCTGATCGTGTCACCCTTCTGCTCAGAGTCTAATAGTTTCTGCTCTTGGGGTAAAAGCCAGAATCCCTGCAAAGCCTCCATTAACTTCCTGCACTTGTCCCCATCCCTGCCCCAACACTCACTCCATTCCCCACACCCTGGCCGTGTTGTTCCTTAAACACATCCCCACTGGGGACCTTTGTGCTCGGTATCCCTGTGCCTGATTTGCTCTTCTCTATGGGCTCCTGTATGACTTGTCTCCTCACCTTCCCTCGGGCCTTTCTTCGGCTGTCACCTTTTTGGGAAGTCTTTCCTGGCCACATCATTAGAGTTGTACATTGTAGCCAAGGTCCCTATTCCCTTTTCCTCCCGCCATCACACTTTTGCCCCCTGATGTGCCATAAATGTTATTTCTGCTCCCCCGTGACAGTGTAAGCTCCTCCTCTGTTTTGCACTTGACCCCTAACGCCTAGAACAACCCCTGGAACATAGTAGACCCCTTGTAATTATACACTGAATGAGTAAGTGAGTGGGGTCAGTGCTGCCACCTGC